CGCAGGTCGCGCGGGCTGCGTGTGCTGGTCGCGCAGAGAGGCCCTGGGGGTGGAGGCCGGGCGGATGCCGAGGCGGGGGGCGCTTTTGTCGGCGGGGACTCCCCCGGGGCATCGCCCTGCCCTGGGAACCTACCTGACGGCCTTTTCCTCAAGAACTGGCCCGTGGGTAAGGAGGGTTGGGCAAGTGTGCCAGCTTGCATGAAGGGTGTAATGAAGCATGGCTTCCTGCAGTTGGCCGCGCTAACTTCACAGTACTGCAGCCTCTCCACCCATTAAGTTCACATCCTGGGCTCTTCCCAAAGCTCACCTGGTGGAAGAGCTACCAGGTCTGCAGCGCAGGCATGCACTACTTTGGCCCCAGTGACAAACGAGAGTGCATCACATGCCAAAGGTCAAAAGCCTGTGTTAGGGTTACACTCAGCGAGGGAACATTAACGCTACCCTCAGCTTGCTGTGTAGATGTACACATGGTCGTTTATCAGGAATTCGCAATATGATGTGGGGATCTGGGAAACGCAGTTGTACTGTACTAAAAAGGATGAAGGAACCCAAGACCCCCTAGTCATTCAGCAAGAGAGAATTAGCACCACGATACAGTGGAGTCCCGTTTTGATTGAGGATGCCTCTGCTCTGGCTCGTTTCTCCAGACTTACTCTTAGAGATGGGAGGTCGTTTAAAAATGGCAGAAAGATGAGCGCCCACAGATAGAAAATGGATTCGGCCTATCTGAATAGACGAATCAGCTGGATACTGAGCAGTTTTAAGTTGTAAAATCTTCTACTGTCACCCTATCCCTTATGCATCCATGTAAGCTCAATATTGATCTTAAGCAAAAAGTCTCCAATTATAACTGTTTGGCATGGAATGGGAATAACTATGATTATTATAGATTGTTCAAATGACAAGCTAAGTTGCAAGGCAAATTCATGACTTTTGGCTAACACCTTGCAGGTACAAAATGGTGGTTTATCAGGAAATAGCAATACAATGTACTGATCTAGAAAATGCACTTTTACAATGCTGAGGGATGGAGGAACCCAAGCTCTCCTCATCAGTCACCAAAACATAATATAATGGTTTCAGCTTCAAAAGCATTCTAAGTGTTCTGATAAGAAAAAAAAATAGCATGGCTATTCTTTCCTATTTCAAATTAATTGCTAGAATTCTATTTAAGAATGTCTCCAGGTAATCACAAGGATAAGAAAAGAAAAAAAGATAAATCTATTTCAGAATAATATGTAACACAATGCAAGCTTATATAGCAAATATATTCAAACACTTTAGAAGCTGAGTTTTATACAGTAATGGAAATCTTGCACAAAATGTGTAAAATTCTATATTAGCTCTAATACTAAATGTTTTTAACCAAAAGCATGTAGAACTCATGCGTCTACTAAACCTCACTGGAAACTATAATCATGTTTCTAAACAAATTAGTTGGAAAACTCAACAAGACATAAAGAAGTCACAAAAATGAGAATTCTCACAGTGCATTTAGAAAAGGTGCCTAGCCGGGTTCGGTGGCTCACCCTGTAATCCCGCGCCTTTGGGAGGCTGAGGTGAGTGGATTGCCTGAGCCCGCGGGTTCAAGACCCAC